CGTCAGTGTCACAATACTCAGTCAATCCTGAGTACATACATAGGAACCGTAGTATACAAATGCAAACGATGAGACGCGTTCTCAAATGAAACCAATCGGATTTGCTGTAGTTGGCCTCGGAGGTTCTATAACCGATGACGATGGTAGTGGCAATGGTGGTAGCGGCGATAATAGTGGTGGTACGCATGGTGTTGGTCGTGGCGGCGGCGGCGTCGGTGGTGGTAGTAGTAGTGGTGATTGTGGTGGTGGCGTTGGTGGTGGGGGTGGTGATGCGGCTGGGGAGAGGACAATACTGATGGTGCGAATTATGTGGTGGAGGAAGAAGAGGAGGTAGTTTGAAGTTTCTGTCCCACAAAAGGCTTTTGTATTTTTACTAAAGAGCTTCTGAAAATCCAGAGTTTGGCTTGTCAGTGAAAACCAGACCTCCGTCGACAGCGGACGGACTGAGCTATTGGGCAGACATTACTATTTTGCGTCAAAGCTGGTGCAGCTTCGCCCAAGGTTTTTAGACATGTCTTGAAACGGAAAGTAAAAAGAGGCGTGTTTAATAGCCCAGATTTTATTCAAAAACAGCAACTGTTTTTTTCTTCACAAAAGACACTACCTAAGTAGCCCTTGCCTTTCCATACATATTATGCGTCTACCTAGACTTGCATACTGTTTTTGACGTGTGTTTACAAACCGCTTAGGCGCTGATTTGTCACTCTAATTTTTTTTCTCCTGCAGGTCAAACAGTTCAGCAGTTAAGATAGAAAATTTTTTACCGAAAGAGCCTCAAAGCACCTTCTGTGACCCTACAGTTTTATCAAGGAAGCTACCTCAGATTGTACTCTGACCGTCACCCCGAGATGCAGAGGTCAGTTAAAAGAAAGATGAGTACTCACTGAAGTACTTTGGCAGCGCGATGATTGTGCTTTCGCTCTGTGTGATGCGGACGGCATCAACAGTGTTCTGGAGGCTTCGCAGAAAGTTGAGGTAGGCCACGCCAACTTCCAGCATGCGGGTCATCGAGACGTCCAGCGTTGAGGCATCCAAATTTGCACCACTACAATTGCTGTTCGGAGTCGTGTCAAGCAGTCGGAGAAAGTAGTTCTCCGCACCCAGTACGCCAACCACGCTCAAATTCGAGAGCTGGCCACTCACTGAAGGCGAACAAACAGAGCAGGTTTAAAACACACACGCACACACACGACAGTTTCCCCGTCGAGTTCGACGATGGGCACCGCGTGCTCCAACAGCCGCAGCAAACTCTGAAGCAAGCCGCAACAGACACTGAGGCGAGCTGGTCAAGCGACACGAAGGCTACAGCAAGCAGGGGCAACACAGAGAACTAGCACGA